CGGGCAGCCGTGGGGGCTCGGAGCCGGCTCCGCCTGCCGGGCTTCTCCTGAAGGCCCGCCCAGACCAAAGTTGGGCTTCGCGTTGTGCAGCGCCGTGAGCGCTGGTCCCGCGGCGCCTCATGCTCGGGTGGCTTTGTTTGAGTTGCCGAGGTGGTCCCTGCTCTCCCCCTCCTCCCTGGCCGCGTTAAAGGCGTCGTCTGCCCCGGGAGCCCTTCGGCGGCCAGGACTGCTGAAGCTTTGATGGACTGTCCGTCTTGGCTTCGCCGATCGGCCTTTTTAGGTCGGGATCTGTTATTAAAGTCATGTTATTTTAGTCTTTAATTAAAAGGAAAAGAAGAACGCCAGACATGTAGAGGCCTTCGAGGCAAAGATGCTAGTTAAATGCAGTTAGTGACCCAAGAGGATCATTTTCCAGCCAAAAATAAAAAGGTCGAAAGGGGATAGTACCGCTTTCCCTGCTGTCCTGCCCAGTTCATCCAGCCCCGCAATCATGGCTCGTCTTCTTATCCAGAGTTCAGAATTTGCATCTGCCACCACCTCTACCTCTGATGGTTATCATGAAAGTAGGAAATTACGGTTATCTGCTAATTTATTTGTTTTAATGATTTTTGTTTACCTAGCCAGCTTTGGTTAGAAAATTAAATCGTTTATGGTAACATCATTTTGCCTGCTCCAAGCTCAGGGCCTCAAGGAAAAACAATATAAACAGTAAATTCTTTAATTGTTTTCTCATCAAGTTTCCAAAGGTATACCTCATTTCCACTTAAAAGTTATTGAAAATGTAGATAAGCCTTTTTTGTGCAATGCTCTGTTGCAAGTTTTTGGAGGCAGATACACCTGGTGTACTTGTATAGTTTTGTCCCTGTGATTGCATATAACCCGTTCTAATTCTGTAGATACCAGAGCAAAGCCTCAGTGTCTGTGCACATTGATGTCTGTGTATCAAACTGTCTTTCATGGGATGGGATTGGGATCCAGTCCCAGCTAATTTGTTTTTCTCATGGATACACCATCCTACCACATCATTCCTGAAGTCTGCTAACAGCATCTTCTGAATTTGTTGCTAATTTCTTATTTTCCTAAACTGTCAAACCTATTTGGCAAGATTCAGTGATGTCAATATTTATCTTCAGGAAAACACATTGTCTTGGTTATTGTATATTATTTCCTGGAAGAAAAGTTATTCTTCATTGTGGATGTCCCTGGCTGGATGCCAGATGCCCACCAAAGCTGCTCTATGAACCCCCTCCTCAGCTGGATGGAGAGAAAACAAAGAAAAAGGCTTC